TAGGGAAATCATTTTTTGGTATCTCTAGTCACTCTTTAAAACTGGGTAACTACGGATGGCTCCACAGAGATTTTATGTATTAGCCATACAATTTATATTTAAAGTATGAAAAGTGCTGAGCAACTTTGCTGGATGCCAGAGCTTAATATTTAAAATGATATGTTTATATGGTTAACTATTTTGTAAGTGGGCCAGCTGTGCCTTTTAAAATTATAGATGTCTATTAATTTCTGTCAACAGGATGTTTGCTTCCTATAAAAAATGACCTTTATTTCTCTTTTTTTTAAATGAATTCTAAAGACTAAGGATATTTGAATATTCCAAAGGTGTGCTTTTTGTGGTCAGTGCCTGTAATAAGACTGTATTTTCAAGTGTGTGAAGTTTATTATGTATAGAGATATTAGGAGAGAAATGTTTCTGTATGTCCACTGGGGCTATGCATCTTCTTTCAACTGGAAGCCATTTATTCTGTCAGCATGTGGTGTTTTACTGCCTATAGCTCCCCAGCATTGGATTTTTTGCACTAAACAGTGGGTTGGTTGAGAGAGTATTGGCCTGTTTTGTACTAAAAACAAAAAAATTCTAGGGGCAGCACTAAGAAACAGAACTGTGTTGTCTGTTGGGAAAAGAATTTCATTTAAACCACTGCCTGCATTTTGTGCTGTGTAACTACTTCTAGTTGGAATTTTTAAAAGCCAGAGCCACACACTGCTATCCTGGGAAAAATTCCAGAGTAAGATTAAAAATATATATTAATAATACTGTTCAAACTGTGTTTTTACCCTATTCTTCACTAAGGGGTGAATGACTTATGGGCCACGTGGGTGTGGGCTGAATCAATGTAGGGCCTAATGAGTAGCAAAAAAATAATAATAATAATAATAATGCTGGAGATCACAGCTTATTTTTCCAAATGTCCCCTTCTGCTGTACTACTTATGTAGCTCTCCCTTTACCCCAGGGACTTCAGAGCTGCTCTGTGTTACTGCTAAGGTTGCTCCCCCAGCTGTGTGTATTTGTCAGTAGGGCTGGAAGTTGTGGTTCCAAACAGAAGTAATGAGTGACTGAGCAGATTCCCACTTTGCGATCCACTTAGTGGTCAAGGGTGCATCTACTGAGCGCAGTTTCTTCTCAGGTTGACACACAACTTAGGAGTTTTGGCGTTGCAAGAGGATGGGACAGGGAGCAGTGAGATCTCTATGCTTTAGAGTCAAGGAAGCATGCATTGCCAGCAACCTGTAGAATTGCAGAGATAGGTCTGCAATATGGAGGCTGTGGCCCCAAGATTAAACATGTCTTATTAATATTACATAGACTAGTCAGGTCATCGTAAAACAGGAAAAACAAGAAAGACACTGACCTGGCAAATATCCTTTATCTACGCGTAGCTTCACCAGGACATACAGTTGGTTTAAACCAACAAGACCTTCACATAGCTGCAGTGCCTGCAACCGAATGAAATAGCAGGCATCAGGGAAAGCAATACTACACTTTATAAAGGGTAGAGAGCCTTTGCCTATCTTATAAAGCAGGGTGTGGTTCTGCTAAACTGTGTGGTTTTTCAGGAGGAGGCTCATTCCCATGCTGCCAAGTGCAATGAGGACATCAGCATTTTCAGGAGAGCAAGCTCTCCTCTTTCCAGACCTCTGATGCCCCATGTTACGGGGTGTTACTGTATAGGTTATGGCATTTACCAAACCTATTGCCATTTTTTTGTAAGCCAGTAGAAAGTCGAACACCTGGGAACAGAAACAAACTTCCATTGTCATGTTTCCCCTCTTCCTTCTTTCTCATTATAAAGATGTTGTAAATCATAGTTGAAAAATGTAAGGTTTGTTTTATCCTAGGAACTTTCCTCATTGTAAAGATGGCAGCATAAAACTAATCATACATCAAAAACCTTGGTGTAAATACAACTTGCAAATAAAGTACCTGCGACAGCTTAGTACATGTATTTCAAGAAAAAGATTTATAGCTTCTGGTAGAAAAACTCCTGCTGTCCTATACTATATCTCCACTAGGGGGTTCTCCTGGCATAGTTATGTCCTGGCTCAGCCTCTAGTGTAGGCAAATCTGAAGTTATGAAAATATTATGGCTGCATTTAGCCACAATGGATTAAAGAAAATGTAAACCTTAGCTCTATCCATCATGTGTATGTCACCCCATTTGTGAGGTTTTCTTATGTTAGATATCAAATATAATGTAAAATTACTTAAAGAATCATGCAGTGTTGCTCACTTAGAAATCAGAAAATACCAAAGTTAACGTCACCTGTGCTTTAATACTGCTCCCTTATGGTGAAATATGAATGGTGAAACCATCTTTAATGACATCAACATATAATGCAGTGATCTGTTTCTCCCTGACCAGATACCCTGCAAGTGAGTCTGCTTTCAGAGTAGTTACCTGAAGGGCAGTAGGAACAAAGTGCTTTGTTGGGGAAGAGGTAGTGTCTTCTAGGAGAAATAGAAGAGGAAGAAAGTAGGACTCTGGCTGCATTAAAGTTTGTTAAATCTGTTTGTTTGTTTTGGGGTTTTTTTAACAGCATTGTCCCACCTCATACCTTTGAATGTCCTTGGTGCCATATTGTGCCTCAATCCTCTTGGTTAATTTATAACACAGAATAGATGGTGTGCAGTGAATGAGGCAACTACAAAACAGTGATTATCATCCTTACTGGGTGTGTCAACACAAGACACTTTACTGCAAAGCAGACTTATTTACTGCGCAGTAAAGCATCACTGTCTATATGTGTGTGGCATATAGTAGACAGTAAATTAGTCTACCGTGCAGTTAGCTAGTACAGTATAACCTCATAAATTCGGCGTGCTGAGGACCAAGCACCAGCCAGAAATTTGAAAATTCTGGATTTTTGATTTTTGAAGCTGGCAGAGCAGCGGTGTGGGGTGGTGGATGGTGGCGGCAGCCGCCGCGTGCAAGCTTCCCCTTCCCCCCCCTCCCCTTCCCCCACTGCTCCAGGACCAGACACTGATACTTCTCAATGTGCCAGATTTTTGAGAATTCTGGATTTTTTATATCCA